AGAGAGAGAGAGAGAGAGAGAGAGAGAGAGAGAGAGAGAGAGAGAGAGAGAGAGAGAGAGAGAGAGAGAGAGAGAGAGAGAGAGCAAGAGAGAGAGAGCAGACAGAAAGGCAGACAGACGACAGACTCGTTGGAGAGGAAATTTAGACATGGGGATCAATTTAAGAACTGTCTGCCCGTTACAATGACCTGGATCATGGCTCCCAGATTCTGAATGTGTTCCATGCGTGGACAAATAAGAGCCTATAGGTCCAATTACACCTCCAGACCCGGATAAGAATATATCGTCTCCACCACCATCTACGAACGAAGATTTCCAATTAGATGTTGTTACCCACAAGTTAATGTCTCTTACCCCCATGGTGGTGTATTAAGCGGCAATTTAAGCCCCACCACCATGTATGAGATGGGTCCGTTCCGTCCCATATGAAAGGAATCACAGAGGTGTTTCTGTCCCTCTGCTAACTCATTGGCCAGTGGGAAAGGGCTCGAGATCAACTGCAGGCAGGCAGGCAGGCAGGCAGACAGGCAGGCGGGCAGGCAGGTAGGCATCTGGTTAGCTGATGGTTATCTTCCAACAACCTGTATGGTTTTATGGGTTGTCAAATATATCAAAACGAAAAGAATTAATTGCGGATCACGCCCAAAAAGTCATCACACAGAGATGCGAACACAATAAGAAAGGCATTATCTCAAAGATAATCCCTGAGAAATAGTTAACATAACAGAGCATATGTGCCACTCGTAGAGAATATTTCAAAAAAGCCCAAGCAAGGGCGCAAGGGGTTCAGTATAAAAGAGCGCAACTGGAGAAGGGAGGTGGAAACGGCAGTTGCTTACTGAAAAACTTCTGAGACGTGCGCACACCTGAGTGTGGACGGATGTCGCTCCCAGATCCCGGTCGTCAGCGCGTAGCCAATGCTAAAAAGACCCATGCAATAATAAACCATTCGAGGGGACTCGGACCCTAAGCACTGGAGCATATGCACCAGTAGCAATGAAGGCGGAACCCAACATCTCACTGCAAACACAGGCGAAACCTCACTCGTCAAAACGCACAGCTATTGGAGACAGGCAGTCCTCATTTAATTAACTTACACGCAATTTAGTGATATAGCTCGATTCTCCAAAGGGAGACAGGAAGTCCGAAACCTCCTCAACGAAGCTTGAGGCATCCAAGTGCATTCACGAGACCTATATGAGAATTCCGCACCTGATCCAAGTGCACATCCAAGTGCAAATTCGCCGTGGTCAGAAGAACAAGCAATGGTACATCACTCTGCGTAAGACGACCTGCCTCTATCAGCCCACCCTCGCACTCAACACTCACTATTGGCTGAGAGTTCTCCCCACATGCCAGCCGTGCTTGCACCCTCCCGTTCATGAACAAAAACCAGATGTTCCGCGCAGCCAAGGCAAGAAAGAAACGGGCCGAGCACAATTCCCGAGAGTTTGTCAGACGAGATACAAAGTAAGGGAGCCTGGCGGTCCCCGCTACACCCCCGTCTTTATGACCATTTGCCAGGCATTAGGGAGACCAGGATCGACTGCTCAGCAAAGGAATGAAGTTGGTCCCCGCTACACCCCCCTCTTTATGACCATTTGCCCCTCCTGGAGGCTTCAAAGACACAGCTAAGCTGTCACACAGTCCCCTGAGGCCTGAACGCACAGCTGTGGCAACATGATCCCGTTTCTAAGACTATGTGCCTGTCATGTCTGATACGCTCTCAACCGTTGTCTACTTTAGACACACACTAAAGCCGTGAGACGTGTACGTATGCAGTGTTTTTTCTTCACACCAAACGTTGAAAAAGGATGATAAAACTTCATAAAAGTGTGTTCAGGTGGCCGCTACCTTACCCGTCGCCGAATAAGAGGGCGGTGGGGCCATGCTCAATGCTGAAAATCAAGCCTACAAATTGGGGGAAGAGTTGCAGGGAAGGAGTATACCGACAAGTTTATTGCTGCAGTCCTTGCCCCTCAGCATCCCCAAAACATTGCAGCCAGATCGAGCAACCCATCACGACAACAGCGAAAATCAGCATCCACTTCCGGGCATAACATTGCAGCAGGTCTTCCCTGACAGCCCAGAAAAGCGCCCCAAATTACCCAACCATACAAAGAAAGGACAGTCTACGAGTTTTGCCTACTCGGAGCAACCGATGGATGTATATAGTAGGGACACCTACGCTGGAGGGGATGACGATTATCGAACTGGTTCGGAACCATTATTGAATCAGGAAAGGACGAAAAAAGCGACAAGCGTTCACAAGTGGAGCACAGGACAGTCTCACCACCCTCATTTCCAAGACAGTTGTCCTCATTGGTGGTGTCCACGCCTCGTCCACTTGATTAGTGACCATTGATGACCTGAAATCGTTGGTCACACTGACACTCCAATGCTGATGTCCCTGCTCACCACCTTCATTTTCAAGAGAGTATCCTCATCGGTGGCGTCCACGCCTCGTCCAATTGATAAGTGACCATTGATGACCTGACATCGTTGGTCACACCGACACTCCAATGCTGATGTCCCTTCTCACCACCTTCATTTTCAAGACTGTCCTCATCGGTGGCGTCCACGCCTCGTCCACTTGATAAMTGACCATTGATGACCTGAAATCGTTGGTCACACCGACACTCCAATGCTGATGTCCCCCCCGCCTCTGTGCGCTATCTGTCACGTATCCGTTTCACCGTCTCCGAAAACTAGTCCATTGCAAATGTAATCGCTTCGTTTGGGGCAATCAATGAAGGAGAACAACCGAGAGCTAGAGTATAATTGTTCTGGTCTGCCCCGCACTCCGGCATTTCCCCTTTCGTCGCCCGACTGACAGAGCAACCCCCTTCTCGCATCAACTGCTTGAAGACAAAGAAGTGATGTGAGTTTCCAGCACAAAAAGTCATCGGCGTGAAGAATCTGGAATACTCGAGGGTGACCTTAAGCCGGACAAACACGGGCACATAATACCGCAGCACAGGGTCGACCTTCGCCCAGTCCGGTCACTCCATCATGCGTATGACGTTGTCCAATGTCCGGTCGCCCAGAGTTCTGCTGCCCAATGTCAAGCAGAAAAAGCTGGGGACTCACAGAAGAGGCCAAACTCTTGGAGGCTCACAAAGCACAGGACGAATACGTGATTTCACAACACCAGGAACTGACAACCTGGATATCCGATTCGTTGCACATTTCACCACTCTAAATGCGCCGCCTTCCACCCAGTCTAAATGCGCTGCCTTTCACCCAGTCTACACGCGCAGTCTCAAACTGAAGCCACATAACGACAATCACACAAAAATTGCAGCATGTCCCAGGACGAACGACTCGCTGCCAACAGTTTTTACACCGAAACACCGTGCATTTGTTTTTATACTATCCCTTATTGGCACAACACTTAGATCCAATGTGCCCTTCCACCCAACACCCCACAACCTCACCCTCACCAACTTCCTCGCCATCACCCTATTCCTTACTGCCTCACTCACCAAAACTTCCACCTTCCATTCATTCCTCGCCCTCGCCCTCGCCCTCGCCCTCACCTTCTCTCTCTCTCTCTCTCTCTCTCTCTCTCTCCCCCCCTCCCCCCCCCCCCCCCCCCCCCTGGCCTCCTCGCCTTCCCCTCCTGGCCCCCCCGAAGCATTGTTCAACATGGAAACTGTCCGTTGCTGAATTGTATGCATCTTCTCACAATGACGCAACATCAGCAGCAGTTCATACCTCTCTGCCATTTGGCCTCCACGGCAAATCTTGCAAGCAGCAGACTGCAAATTACTTGAAGACATTACAACGCAGCCTGTATTTGTATCAAATCAAATCTTTGATAGGCTTGGCCTATCAGACGACCCTCCATGCAGAAGGCTCTCTGTAACATGCGAGGGATCAGATAAACCAAACAAGTGGTCAGCTCTAGCCGGCATGTAGCAGATCCGTCAGTTCAACTCGCACTGCCGCCCTTAGAGATCCATGCAGCTGACCAGAAGTCTTCTCGGCACCATCCGACGTCTCTGAATCCATGACCGGTAGTCTCCTTTACTTCTTTCTTCTGAGTCACAAAATACATTGTATGCCACATACGGCAAGCTGCTGGCCCATGTGCCTCAAACACTCCCTTTTCCATCCCTCTTCTTGTTGCCTCCTCCTGGCCCCATTCTTTTGTAGTCTGTATATACTCGCTGTGCCTCAGTGACTCCAACTCAAATTCCTCAAAGAACCTATAAACTAAAAGAGCAATGCTATGCTCGTTCTCATTGGTCCGTGGCACAAACTCAGCCAAAGACCTCGGATGCCAGTAATTCACGACCAAGGGAGGAAAAACCTCCAAAGGAGATACAAATCGGAAGAAAGGACTGAGGCAGGAGATGTTGGCCACAGGGACTCGTTTACATGTTCGCAGCCACTCACACACACACACACACACACACAGAGGACTCGTTTACATGTTAGCAGCCACACACATACACACACACACACACACACACACACACCTGTCTCTTATACACATCTAGATGTGTATAAGAGACAGGTACACTAGAAGGGGGTTATAGCAGGAGCAGCAAGGACAATCGACAGGTTGGCATGCTAGAGCAAACCGCCGGTGGCAAGAGATCTGCCAGGTGTCCCGATAATCTTCAATAGGTTTTGAGGATGAGTCAGGACAAGATAAGACGCTTAACTGTATACAGCACCTGTGTGTAATGAACAACCCCTAAGGCCTATGAACAGTCAACATGCCCCAGCAGCTGTGAAAGCTCTGGTCAAAAAGCCCTACCAATCTGCTCCCAGTTGAACCGACAGATGTGCTTTGTGGCAACCGCACAAAGTGAGAGCATCAGGGGGTGCTGTCAGCTACACCTGTCTGCAAAGAAAGTCTATCTGTGCAGCACCACGCCGAGCGATGCAGACCACCCATTTCAGCCCAAGCGCTTGAGCACTAGAAGCACATCCGCGAGTATAGTTTGGCACCATAGCCCTATTGACATGAGAGCTATTCAACAGCCCCACACTAAGGAGACTGGATACTTTCTTCAACCATAATGAATGATTGCCAGTGTGTCTTTCGGAATGTACATATCAGTGTCTTCATATCAGTTAGTCAGTGTAGCCCTTGCCCAGTACAATCCTTTGCACAATCCCTTGCAGGATAGGGAGAGAAGAGGGAGCGGACTTCCAGCCATGGATTCATTTCAGAAAATAGGCTGCAGGGTCAGTCGTGTTTGAAACCTATGCATGCCTTCCTCAATCACGAGATGGAGTTCGACGAATTCGACAACGGTGTAGAATCCGACACATTGTCAAAGATGCTGTTTGGAAGCGTAAGCGGCGGCATCAGCGTTGCAACACACTTGAACTGCAGCACCACGGTTTGTGGACGATATACACATGCAGAACAACCACCCAGCGCAACCAGGTCAGTTCAACTAGAATAAATACATCCATCATCATTCTTCAGTCAAACGAGCGCAACCACTTTTACCTACTTCTCACAAATGTCTAACCTCTCATTCTGCATACAACTCCTCTGCGCAGATCGGTGTAACGATATTGAAAACAACACCTACAAACAGGGAGAACTTCAGGGCCTCTGCAACACCTGGAATGAAAGCGACGTCCTGCTACAACATTGAAAACAACAGGAACATACGGGGAGAAAGGCAGGGCGAAAATCAGCTCTTTTTTTCCATGTGCTGCAACTCGTCACTTCCTGTCCCCCCCTCAACACCTAGCTCTCCTCAGAACATACCAGATGCCCACCTCACCCCCCTCACAAAAATGTCTCCCCTCGCATTCCGCATACAACTCTGCACAGATTGGTGCTACGTTATTGAAAACAGCACCTACATACGTAGAGACCAGCAGGGCACAAATCAGCTTTCAATTTGCCACAAAAGAGAATCGGCCGCACACATCACTTCCTGTCCTCCTCGACACCTGGCTGTCCCGAAAACACTTTTGGATGCCCATGTATGGAATGAATACGACGTCCTGCTACAAAATTGAAAACAGCGGGAACATGTGGGGCGAAAGGCAAGGCACTAATCAGCTCTCTTTTTCCATTTGCTGCAACACACCGCTTCCCTCTCCTCAGAACATGCCAGATGCCCACCCCGGCCCCCTCAGTCCCCAACACCCAACCATAACTCCACGCAGACACAAACCGCAAATCCCTTCGCACAATCCTGCTCCTCAAGCCAGAGGTTCGAGATGCACAAATCTTTTGGATCAGCAGCTTCATCAAATCCAACCATAATCATATCGAATTCTATTAAGTCACCCAAAGGACATTGCGGCTTTTTTTCGTTACTTCGGAACTTTAGAAGTTTGAATTCAAAAAAAAAAAAAAAAAAAAAAAGTTTGAATTCAACTGATGTCAGTACCCACCTTGTGATGGCTGTACTTTTCCCGGATAGCTGGCAATGTGCAGCCTCTTGTGTTCAGCTGGCAGTGATGTATAGCCATGACACATTCCTTGAGCTCTGAAGCATGGTAGTGGGTGTAGTGTGCCAGAGTTTGATCCTGCAAGGACAACACGATTCCATCAGTGGTGAGAAAAGGAGACTGTTCCCGATGCTTTTTGCATTTTTTTCTTTCCCTATTCCATCAGCATTGTTGTGAGTACGCCTCTCTCCTTAACAGGGGCATTCTCGACAAAAAGCGCACATATTGAGGACTGGTCCAACTGTTCCCATAACAGGGCCATTGTTTGATTGTGGTGATGTGCAAAACACACCTGAAAATATCCTCCACATCATGCACATCCTTTCCCTTGTTGTCCTCTTCCCATGACTGGTATCGCCAACAGGACAGGTAAGATGACCTGTTGCGGCTTCACCCACAAAAGCAAAAGCAGGTATGAGCACATTCATGGTGGTTTGTCGTGACTAACAGATCTTTTTAATTTGATCGGGAAAAAAAGGAAGCAAAAGTGAACGCCAAGATGCCAAAATGACTAGATGCCTACGCGCACATGCAGCGCACCCTTTTTGAGATCCAGAAAACGAAATCAAGCATTTATGATGACCGGGAAAACAACAACAGAAAGGAAACGCACTTCCCACTTCACTCGTGACGGTCTCTCCCTCTCTCTCACACACACGCACACAGCACGGACACACATACTCGACCCAGCTTCTCTCTCCTTCACTTACACAAGCCATTGACCAGTCATGCACACACGCACTGTCGCATGCCTGTGTGTGTTTTAGCATGGATACATGCTCGATCCAGCCTCTCTCTCTCCCTCCTTAACTCATGCAATCCACCACACACGTGCCGTTGCTTGCCTCTCTCTCTCTCTCTCTCTCTCTCTCTCTCTCTCTCTCTCTCTCTCTCTCTCTCTCTCTCTCTCTCTCCTCCTTACAGCTATGTATCAGTAAATGACGTAATCAGCAAAACTCACCCAACAATTAGAAAAATAAACAAAGGAACTTTATTGTACACACTCTGCTATGTGGTGTATAAGGGTTGAGGGCCGCTGGAGATGCAACGTCCCAATGGATCCCTCCATAGTTCTCTCCTTCCTCCCTCCTCCCTCTTCATTATTGCTGTCCTGCCCCCTTCTCCTCTGGCCTCCTCGTCCCTCCATCGTCGTCCTCATCGACATCGCCGCCAGCTGGCACCCATTCTCCCTCGCCCATCCTTCGTCCATTGTCGTCGTTCTCCTCCCCCCTTCTCCCTCCACTGGCTTCGATGTCTGCTGATGCCCAACCTCCCTCCTCCCTCCCTCCTCCCTGCTCCTCCTTCCCCCTCCTCCCTCCATCAGCTTCTCTGCCCGCTGGTGCCCAATCTACTCTCCTCCACCCTCCATCCTCCCTCATCCTCCATCCACCGTTGTCCTCCTCCCTCCTCCATCGTTGTCATCCAATCTCTCCTCCCCGCATTGTTGTCGTCCCTCCTTCTGCCTCCTCCCTCCCTTCTTGCCCAATCTACCCTCCTCCACCCTCCATCCTCCCTCATCCTCCATCCATCGTTGTCCTCCTACTCCCTCCTCCATCATTGTCATCCAATCTCTCCTCCCCGCATTGTTGCCGTCCCTCCTCCTGCCTCCTCCCTCCCTTCTCGCTCATCCCTCCCTGCTCCTCCTCCGTCCATCCATCCTTCTCGTCCTACTCCCCATCCCTCCATTGGCGTCCTCCCTCCTTCCATCATCCTCCCTCGCCATCCTCATTGTCCTCCTCACCCCCTTCCTACATCCCTTCTTGAACATGTCTCTCTCCTTTGTGTCTCTCTCCCTTCCGTGTCTCTCTCTCCCCCCTCTCCCTCCCTCTCTCTCTTCAAAGGGCAGACTCCCTGTCCACTTGTCCCTTGACTCCACCTACCCCTACTCGCCATCTTCTAACACTCCCACACAGCACTCCCTGTCTCTTCGTTCTTGTAAATGACGGTTAACAAAGCACTTCCCTGTCTCTTCCTCCTTGTAATTATCGGTGAACTTCCCTCTCTCTCTCTCTCTCTCTCTCTCTCTCTCTCTCTCTCTCTCTCTCTCTCTGTGGGCTGGCTCCAGCGAAGATGATTGGGCGAACATGGGTTGGGTCGGACAAAGATGGACGGAATCGGGACAAGAGGGGGCAGAAATGGGTGGCGGCAGGGGCAGAAATGGGCGGCGGCAGGGGCAGAAATGGGCGACGGCAGGGACAAAAGCAGCTGAAATCTCAAAATTTCTGAACTCTTGGCGATTGATCTCCTTCTGGATTGCAATACTTCTGAATGCAGGTCCAGTGGCTTAGCCCACATATGTTGCGGTGATCCCTACACTATTAAAATCGCTAACGTGACAAATCTGAAGTCCGGGCCGTCGTCGGTCCTACCGGCCCACGGCCGAGATCGACCGAACCATCTAAAAAATCTGCCGTCTGGACCTTCGGCTCCTACCAGACCGACAGACTGGATAGATTCGTTCTTAAGATCTTAGGACCACGCCAAGATCCAGGCCGTCGATTCAGACCGACAGCTCAGATAGACGCACTGAGTGCCATGGGGTACTACTGGAGTTCACGACATCAGGCTAACCCAACTTTCCCGTTGGACTGGGCGTTCTCGTGCAGCGCCCTCAGTCTGTTGTATTCAGTGTTGTGGTGCTTCTGCTGTTGTCATGAAGCCCGCCGTGCGCCCGGTTGTGAAGCACCCTGTCGTGAAGCTCTCTCTCTCTCTCTCTCTCTCTCTCTCTCTCTCTCTCTCTCTCTCTCTCTCTCTCTCTCTCTCTCTCCTGTGGTTGGCCGTTGGTGCTGTAAGCTGTGGGTCTCTCTCGCTCACCTGTGGTTGGCCGTGGTTTGTTGTTGGCCTTTCGGAGTTCTGCATCAACGACGCCTGAATGCCGGTTGAAGATGGCAGACACAGGTCAGTACACTTCTCCCTGCTTCCTCCACCCTCTCCCCCTGACTTCCGCCACCCCTCCTCCGCTCTCTACTGCTCCTACTCCGCGTGTCCTTCGATCTCTGCCACTCTCCGCTCCTCTGCCGCCCGTCCCCCCTTCTCCTTTCCCTCACACACACACAGAGGGAGAGAGAGAGAGAGAGGGAGAGAGAG